ATAGTAGGAACAGCTAAGATGCTGAACAGAACCTTCAATCTCGCAGCCTCTGATAGTGGGTCTGAGATTGAGGAAGACACATACCACTCATAGGAAGTTCCAAAGGTACTTTTTCAAGAAGCAACTGGACTTTCTGGTTTTTCTTTGAAGACATTTCGCTTCTAATTCAAGAAGCTTCTTGGTTGAGAAGCAAAACATCTTCAAAAAAATGCCAGAAACTCCAGCACCTTTGGGACAAACATGACCTGGATGAGAATGGGAATCTCCATAGGAAGATTCGTAGGAAGAGAAGGTTTTTTTAATTTATTTGTTGTATTATATTTTTATTCAGACTGATTTCATTGTATACCACCCAGAGCCAATTCAGAGTCATGTGGTGCCTAAATGGAATAAATTAAATGAATATGAATGAAAAGCAAAGGTTGCTGGCTTGGCCTTAAGAAAAAAATCCAAATCCGTATTAGGTAGACCATTTATTAGACCATCTTTACATTATAATGCCTAATGCAGGCTTTGAAAGACTTAAAAATGCTTTAAGAGGACATTTTACACATTTTTACATCTTTAGATGAACTTGAAAATTACTGTCTTATTAAGGATTTTAGATTTTTTTTATACATATACAGCCATTTTTCATGAGTATCCTGCTGATTGTTTGCATTATCAACATTACTGGGTTAATGTATTTGAATTTCTTTGTATAACTAATTCCAAAATGTCAGGAATCTAAGCATTTATTTAAACACAAAGTATGCATAGAAATCTACAGGCAGACTTGGACTTATGTGGGACAGTCATTAAGCAAGTCATCACATAACCGATCTGATTTTACAACCTTTTTTTTTAATGGTGATTGTTAAGCAAATGTGGAAGTCATAAAACAAAAGCCAAAGTTGTAAAGTGAATGCTGTGATCGTTAAGTGGCTGGAAATTGGAAGTAAATGGAGGTTTCTGGCAAAAGAATTATAAATTACATTATAACAATCATGGGACTACAGAATGCTACAAACAGCCTGGTTGCTGAGTGCCCAAAATGTGATCATGTCATATGGGGTAGGGGGTGGGGGTGGGGGAATATTACAACTTTGAATCCAGGTCATAAGTAGCTTTTTTGAATTGGTGAATTCTAGATTCTTTGAATTCTTGACTGTTTAAAAGGCTTGCACCAAACATTTTCATGACTTAGAGTAACAATCTCGAACCTTTTTGGCTTTGTTGAATGGCAGGGGTAGAAGGGATGGTTTTGTGTAAACGGTGAGGAAGTGCACATGCGTGGCTCCATTTGCGCATGCAGTGGGCATGTGTGTCCACCGCTTGCACAAATTGAACTTCTTATGTGCATGCTCACAGGGTACAAGTGGAGCTGCGTTCTGTGCACACGTGCTCACCCACTGCTTCCGCAGCCCGGTTCTGAACAGTCTGTAGGCCAGTAATGAGCCCCGGTCCAGGGGTTGGGGACTCCAGACTTAGAGCAATTGTACCATTAGTAATTCACAAATTAATGGAATGTTAAGTGATCACGATTTGGAAAATCTACGAACTGTTGTTGGTTTGAGCTCCGAGCTTGGCAATTTGCTCACAAACATTTCATCCCCATTTGAGGAGACATCTTCAGTGCGCTTTTGATTGTGCTTGTCTGAGGGAGCACTGGCCTTTAAATAGCTTTCGGAGTCCTGGTCTGATTTCAGGTTATGTGATTGGTTGGCTATAGTTGGTGAGTCATGAACTGGCATTTCCCCTTATTTCTACTAATGATTAATCCAAGCATCTTCAGGAAAGATAGCAACACAAATGGAGTAAGTCCAGCTGGATGTTATCAAAGGCTTATATTTACATATAATGTCTTTTGTACCGTACTCTGGAGTTTTAGAATGACTTGCCATTAATTTTGTAATTATGTAATTTCCAAGTGTTTAAATTATGGTTTTTCCTCATATGAGCAAACCTTTTCAACTAGATCATTGGATGCAAACACAACATCATATACAATGTGTTTCTGTATATCAGAGAAAATTATAAAAGGTTATGACATAAACATGAAGCTGACAGTATAGAGGAGCAGTGTCTAAAAAGAAGAGATTTAATTTATCTTAAATATTGTTCATATTCTGCCAAATTTTGTTCAAGACCAGCGTTCTCAGAGAGTTCTATGTGCAAAACAAAGTCAGACTCCAATAAGGAATTAAAATAAAGGGTATTAAAGTAAATAAAGGGATGGTTAGTGAGTACAAGAAGGTCATTTGAGTGAAGGATGGTTACTATAATTAACATTGAAATTGTGCTGTTTTTTCATATTAACGCAGTATTAACATTGCAGACGATCTGCTTCTGGGTCACACATGGTGATTACTTTCTAATTTGGCCCATCAGACAAATTCTTTATAAAAGACAAAGTGAAAAAGTTGATAAACCGTATTTGGTTATATATTTCAGGGATGTTCCCAGTTCAAGGCTCTAGCAGCAGATTGGTGGGTTGCATTAAACTAAGCAATTGAATGGGGAAGTTGTGTTTGCATAATACTCTCTGGTCCATTTACTTTGCTAATAGTTTTCCAAAGAACAAAAAGATGCCAAAGAATGTCCTTGGAACACTTGTGTGTGTAGTTTCTCTCTTTCTCTCTCTCAGCTTTGTTTGATTTGATATTGTTTGGGTTTTGTGTATCTAGCTTCCTATAGTCAATAAGCCTACAAATTACTGTCTTTTCTAGAACAGTTGTCTTTGCTTTTTTCATATTATATTTTTTATTTCATCTCAATCCCCTCTTCTAATTTGACCTCAGGTTAAATATGGGCTACAGAAGACAGAGATGGGCTCAGTTTCTGGTTCTGAATGGTGACTCTCACTAATAGAGGTAGCCCTTGACTTACGACCACAATTGAGCCCAATTTTTTGTTGCTAAGTGAAACATTTGTTAAGTGAATTTTGCTCCATTTTATGATCTTTCTTTTTTTTTTAAACTTATATACCGCTTCATAGGGCTTTCAGCCCTCTGGGTCCTCATTTCACCCACCTCAGAAGGATGGAAGGCTGAGTCAACCTTGAGCCGGTGAGATTAGAACCACTGAACTGCAGATAACAGTCAGCTGAAGTAGCCTGCAGTACTGCACCTTAACCACTGCGCCACCTCAGCTCTGTCACAGTTGTTAAGGGAATCAATGTAGTTGTTAAAAAAGTAACATGGTTGTTAAGTGAATCTGGTTTTCCCATCGACTTTGCTTGTCAAAAGGGGATCACATGACCCTGGGACACTACAACAGTCATAAATGTGAGTCAGTTTCCAAGTGTCTGAATATTGATCATGTGACCATGGGAATGCTGCAATGATTGTAAGTGAGAAAAATGGTCATAACTCACTTTTTCCAATGCCGTTGTAACATGGAATGGTGATGAAGTGAACTGTTGTAAGTACTATCTGCATTTCCTCCTTTCCTACTGACAATATTCAGTAGAATGTATTCAAGTAAAGCTGCCTTTTGCAATTGACTGATGGTGATTTTGTCAGTGCTGATGGTGTTAGTGGTACTCCAGTGTTTTGGGGATTGTACTCAAGCACCAATTACTATTGCCACCATCTTTGCTTTCTTTTGCCACAGTTGTTCTATATCTATTTGCAGGTATTTGTATTTTGTCCATTTTTTTTCTTCTATTCTGCTGTCTCCAGATACTATCCAGATTTCTTTGTCTTCATTATCAGCAATTATTAATATTATTATTTTACCCTGCATTTTTTATATAAAATTCAAGGCATACTTAATTTTCTTGCCTCTTATTTTGCTCACAACAATCTTCTGAGGTGGGTTGGATTGGTCCAAAATTTTTAATAGCATTTATATCCTGTATTTTACTGTTCAGCCTTTGATCACATGACTGAAATTAATGGCAATAATAATAATAATCATAATTGCCCATGGTAGTAATAAGTCAATCAACTCTTAGCATAAAATTGTCACTGAAGTAGAAGCAGCGCCAAAAAGGTGGATACATAGAGCTGTGTAAGATTGGCACCAAGTCAGGGAAGGAGTTCCATCAGTTATGGTGCTTATGAGATCATTCCCTCCCAGTGTTGTCTATCCATCCTGTGAGATATGGCAGGAGAGGCATGCTTTGTGTCCTGTCTGTGAAAAGATGTCACCTGTCATCATCCAAGAGGGTGGTAGCTTTGTGCTATGACTCACATCCTCTGGAATAACATCTCTTTCCTAATTAGACTTGCCCCAACCATGCTGCTTTTTGCAGGGCATAAAACCCCCGTTTTGTCATTAAGCCTGATCCCGTGTCATTGGTTGTGAGTTTTCTTAGCTGCTATTTTTACATTGTTTTTGTTTGGGCTATTTTGGTTGTGTTTCACTGTTTATATTCTGTTTTAATTGTGTTTTAATTGTGAGCCGGCAAGAGTCATGTATATAAGATGGGCAGCCTATACATTTTTATCATTGACACCAATTTTTCCCCACTGATGAGGATTCTCCCCAAACTCTACCTCATTAACGTTCTTTTCTTTGCAACTGCTAAGCACAGTACTGTTACACTCAGTTTCCTAAATAATGCTGAAGAATGATTTTGCAGCAGCTCTTTCCATCCCTTGGGCTTTCTTCCCTGTAAAAACAAATGTAATGAAAAAGGACAGAAACAGGATGCTGGATGCTGAGTTGGTAGGAATTCAGAAATATTGTTTTCCAGGAATTGGACCAGTCAATGTAACACGAGAAATTACGAACACCCCCTGACATTGAATCAACTTGATAAGAGACAGAGTATCTGGTGGGTGTAGTACTGTCAATGATTTTGATCCATTCAGATCTTGGCACAGAGTGAATTATCTCCAAGGCCTCAGAGACATCCTGAAAGCAACTCCAACTTTATTTTGGCATTCCTTTTGATTTATTTAGTTACATGAATCTTTTTATGCTGTATCATAGGGATGGGACCCAGAACTTAAAATAAATGTGGCTTTCCTTCTGAATAATCAAGTAATCCTATATTATTCCCTGCATTGCAGATGTCGATGAATGTGCAACTGAATCACATCAATGCAACCCTACCCAAATCTGCATCAACACTGAAGGAGGATATACTTGTTCCTGCACTGAAGGATACTGGCTTTTAGAAGGCCAATGCTTAGGTAGGTTACAATGGGATCAGCTTCTCTTAGAAATGGCTTTCCGGAATTCCTACAGGATTCCCAGAAGAAATACCAGTGACCCTCCCCTTCCAAACCTCTATGAAATGGTAAGGATAATTTGGGAAAAGAAGGGGGAAGTTAACCTTACAAGTGGAGTTGAGCAAAGTAGTTAATGTTTTCCTTTCAACACAGGTAGTCCTCATTTAGTAACCAAAATTGGGACTGGCAACTTGGTCGTTAAGTGATATAGTGACTAAGTGAAATCGTGACTGTGCTTACCTTATTTCAGCTTTTTTTTCATTACAAGTCTGCAAAATTATTTTTTCATCACTGTAATAACTGTAAATGGTTGCTCAATGAGGCAGTTGCAAAATGAGTACTACCTGTAATGACTTGAGAACTTCTTGAGAGTGTTTCTTCTTGCTATTACTATTGAATGTCCCTCTCCAGATTCTGTCCAAACTCCAAGAGACATAAACAACATCAAGAGATTAACATATTTTCCTCTCTTCATTAGGGTGGAAAACATTCCCTTTACTTATTTAGTTACGCAATACCAGCACATAGCCAGATTATGGTGTTACATTGCCACTGTCACATTCATGATATGTTTATCAATTAATGAGATCATGAATTCCAACTATAAAGAGGAATTTTAAAAAATGTTATATGAAAGGACATGAAATTTGGGTGATCTTTTAAGAACCCCCAAAAACATGTGAGCTAGATCAATCATTATCAAAGGAATAAACTAGCTGAAACACTAGGAAAGTTCTATAATGGATTCTTTGCTTTGAATGCATTGCTTTTGTTGGCTGTGATTGGTTTTTCCAGCCTTTTAGGTCTGCTTTGAACTTTTGCAGTGGTCTAAGTTCCAGCTGATTTCATCAGATGGTAAAATACATTAGTACAGTCTAACAACCTTACTGGGAACAGCAGATAGCTGGCTTCTCTCCCTTCAGAACAATTTCCTGCCACATACTTTTGCTCATCATATAGTCATGATGACCAGACTGTGTATCTGTTTGTCCGACTGTCTATTATCTATCTCTCATCTCTCTCTCACACTCTCTCTCTCTCTCATCTATGAATGAGCAAGGAGTTTCTTTTCATTCCTTTCTTGCTGCATTGTGCTTTTAAATTGCAAGGCATTGTGATTTTTCTATTCTTTCTATAGAATGAAACAAAATCTTTAGAATACTCCACTTATTATTTTCCTTTATATTGGTGCCAAATCTTGTGTGCTCATCAGGGCCGTGTTCTGGAAAAGCAGAACGTCTGGGTTCTACCACGCATGCACACCCAACAGCTGTCTGGTGTGCATGCATAGGTCGTTTTTTGGCACTGGCCTGTGCATGAAGGGATTGTGCTCTGGAAAAGCCAAACTTCTGGGTTCTGGTGCATGTGCACATCGACAATCAGCTCACCGGCGCACATGTGCACACCGATTTTCAGCACTGCCATGCGCCTGAAGGATAGCTGATCATTGCACATTCAGGCTTGCCAGAAACCCGGAAGACAAACAGGCAAGGCCGCTTGCCCGGCAACATGGCTTCTCATCACGGGTCTAGGAGATGAGTTCAGGATTTGCTTGGATTTTCATAGTTTCATGATAACTATGAGTTTATTCCAAATCATTATGGGCTCAGCATACATAGGGAGTCACTCTTGGGCTCCAGCTCTGGAATAGTGAGAATGTGCTCTGGATATGGAGAACATCATCATTTTTTGTCATGCTGACTATTCTGTGGTTACTATGAGTCTATCTTCGAAACATTCTTCAAAAGAGACATGAAGTAGGGTGTACTTTAAAAGATGTCTAAAATATTTGGGTATGGTGCCTTGGGCTGTAAAATAATATATATTTAACTGAATGTATAATATACTGTATGTTATCAACTGCTACGGATTTGTGTTTCTCCAGCTTTTTAAAACTGACCATATTATTTATATATATTTCGTACAACTGGAGTAGGCACAGTGCTACAATTGGCTTCCTCTTCCCAATTTCATTTTCAGGTGTTTGGATCCAGGCTTTCAATATTCTATGTACTGCATTACCATTTTCTTGTTCTTTGCTCATCTTTGCTTGGGCTATCTGGATGACTAAGTACATCCTTTAACAGTTGGAAGAACAAACGTTGACCAAGCATTAGGTGTTACTAATATTATTAGTCACCAATGTAGGAGAAGAGATGGCAGAGCCTGGGGAGAGGAGGGTCAAAGAGAAGATTAGAGTTTCTACGTGGCATAAGCAGACTAAGTCCAACACATTTTGAATTCCATTAACCCTTATCTAGTGCCAAAATAGTGATAAACATTAGTTGGCTAGATTCTTGTGCATAGACATGAGCACTAAATCAATTTAATTGGAACTTCACATGTGGCCCTTGTCATATGCCTAATACTTCTGCATTTCTGCTCTAGGTGACAATTCAATTTTTTTTACTATCATTCAGCTGATAACAAAGTTATTAACTATGTTTTAAAAAACATACGTGCACCAAGAGGACAACAATCAATCTGTTAGCTGTTATGCCAAATAATCTATTGGTTATTTATTTATTATTTATTCATTACTAAATTTATTGGCCACCCACCTTACTATTACTTCTCTATTAATTTCATCCATCCATCTGTTATTCCTTTCTTCCTGATTTTGAATATTTGCCAACAATCTTAACACAATTTTAACAATCTGTGACCATTAAGAATTTGTGAATTAAATTTCTGCTAAATAATGCACAATTGCCTGAATTTGCATATTTAACTAAGCTATGCTTTACCAACCACAGATGTTCAATTAGCACAACCACATAATGAACTGTTTTATATGAACTTCACCAGAGTATATTGAATTATCTAAAGTAGCTATCCTCTAACTAGTACATTACAGTATAACTCCCAGAATATTCTGTCTATAATCTGGCAGTTCATGAAGATGATCAAAAAATGCCTTCCCCTATATACCTTTAAGTCTATTTAGGCATTTCAGTGGTCTTTTCCTCAGGAGAACTTAACAGAATGAAAATAACTGTCTACCATTTGGTTCCTCAATTGTGTTGTTGTGTCATCTGGCATGAAATAAGATTCAACTGCCAACCAATTGACATCTGTATATAGAAATGGAAGGATAGCACCATTTTCATTGCCCCAGGAAGCAAAAAGTTTTGGACTTCATCAGCAGGTCATGCAATCAGGCCCTTCATATCTCAGCCCAGCTGTGTTATGCTTATCAAAAGCTCAAATAGGTATTTTGCTTATTGCCAGCCAAAGTTCCTGCCAGAGGATTTGCAGTATGGCCAAAAATGATCTGTGCTTCAGAGGAACATGTCAAACAGTTTGATCTCTGCTTGCATGGCTTGAATTAGGCTAAAAGCAAATAGAGTGCAGTTATAAAGAAGTGCCGATACCACTTGCCTATAGTAAGCTGCTGAATGAGACTTTAAATGAAAGGAGATTGTAATATGTGATGAAATAAAATTGTGCATGCAATCTGATAGCAGGAACAACATACATAACTATTGATTACACCATATTATTTAAGGTCTGTTAATAAATATTGTTAAGAGATATTGGCTTCTAATTTTTTCCCAATGTGGCAAATGGTTTCACTTCTAATTCAATTCTTTTACTAGACATAGATGAATGTCGCTATGGATACTGTCAGCAGCTCTGTGCCAATGTAGCTGGCTCCTATTCCTGTACCTGCAACCCAGGATTTGTGCTAAATGAAGATGGGAGATCGTGTCAAGGTATTGTGTAGAGGAGGGGAGAGGGAGAAAAAGCAGGAATTCATGTCAACATTCATATAACATTCTACCAAGTTCAGAAAGCATCTCATTTCAACTCTGAGCTACAAATATTCTCCTCTATCAGTATTCACATAACATTATGTATATAATATTAACTGCATTAAACTCCAACCTTTAGGTATATATGCACATTTACAGGCTGGAAATGCCTAGGGATGATATGACTAATGTTTAATGGGAACTGAAAGCCACTACAACACATATATTTATTACTACTTTTTAAATTACATACTGAAGTGGCATGTTCTACATTTATTCTTTATGTCTGCTTTTTCCTTTTAGAAAAAATAAGCTCTCTTCGCCAGTAAAAATTGGATTCTTTGTATAAAATGGTTATTAAGCAAGTTCAAAAATGGGTCATTGGTCATGAGCACTAAGGGAATATTTATTGGTAGAATTCCATTTTATGTCTTGAGCCACAGAATAGTTTTTCAGGGGAATGAATTTGGCTTAAAAATAGAACAATCTTTTGAATGGCTATGTAATAAATGTTATGAACCATGGCAACTAATAAATATATGGAAATCAGAAGGAATTATATGTGAGTCTTCTACTTTCCCACCTATGATCACAGGATTTCTGCTCATAAATGGCTCTCTCATTGGCCTGCATTCCTCCTGGGTCCAGTACCACATATTTAGTAGTAACTTCTGATAGCATGTATAGTGCTTAAGACCACATTAAAGGATGCTTTATTGTACTTGGGCAATACAATGTGTTTGTATATGTTTAAAGTCACAACCCCTGGTATGCCCAAATATGGGAGGAAGTTCACTGCTTCCATTCTCTGTCCATCGGCTCGTCATAAGAGACCATCCAGTTATATATATATATCTCCACACTTACACATACCCATACCCATACACACACACAAATCTTTATCAAAAGTTGGTTACTTTTGATTAAAGTTGGTTACATTTGGCTAACCAACAGATGATCTGGAAGGCCAATCAATGGGGTCAACATTTGCTACATTGTTGCAGATACTCATCTGTGGACTAATAGCAGATAAGAAAAAAAATTCATATCTCCTGTATGAAGATTGGAGTACTGTGCATAATTACTTTGGAACAGAACCAAACAGAAATAAAGAGGGATTCTAGTTTTAGGATTTTGAGGGTGGGAAGTAATTATATTATTATTATAAACATCTAAGAGTACGCTTAGATTGCAGTATTCATTGTAGATATTTTTTCAAAGTTGTAAATATTAATTAAAGTTTGAGAAAGATCATTAATTTTCTAAGAACTGACTATCCACAGATGTGAATGAATGTACAAGTAGCAACCCATGTGTACAAAACTGTATGAACACCTATGGCTCATTCCTTTGTCGTTGTGATCCTGGCTATGAGTTGGAGACCGATGGCATCAGCTGTAGTGGTAAGTAGAAATTATTGTGGAGTATCTTGACTTTGGGAGGTAATAAATCTTTTTTGGAGGGGGAATAAACATGTTTATTTAACATTGAAGATAGAAATTTCGAAACTGTGTTACAATTAGTAACTTGATCATGAGCATACATTCGCTGTTCAATCATTTCAAATAATTCCACAGTACAGTAAATATAAGGTTAGAAAAAGGAAAGGAAACCAAACTTTGGAGAAGAATGTATTCTGAAAGAAATTTTCAATTGGGAATTGAATCAAGTGGAAAATATATCTGTATCTAATAATAGTGGGGCAATTTGATGTAGTCGTTGAAGGCACTGGGCTTGAAATTGGAAAGCTATGAATTCTAATCTAGCTGAGTGACCTTGGGCCAGTCATTTTCTCTTAGCCCTAGGAAGAAGGCATTGGCAAATCACTTCGGAAGAACATTGTCAAGAAAATTGAAAGGACTTAACTATATATTGTAGTTGCCAGAAGTTTAGATTGATTTGAAGACACATACAAAGTAACTGTAAGCATATACAATGAGCACATTTGTTCTTCAGTTCTAAACATAATTTTATTTTGTTCTAAAAATATTTCAGTTCTAAAGATAAATTATAATTGGTCTGAAGCAGAGGTGGTATTCAGCAGGTTCTGACCAGTTCTGGAGAACTGGTAGCGGAAATTTTGAGTAGTTTGGAGAATGGTAAATACCACCTCTGACTGGCCCCGCTGCCATCTATTCTCTGCCTCCCAAGTCCCAGCTGACTGGGGATTTTGCAGTAACCTTCCCCTGGAGTAGGATGGGAATGGAGATTTTATAGTAACTTTTTCCTGCCATGCCCATCAAGCCATGCCCACCAAGTCATGCCTGCAGAATTGGTAGAAATGTTTTTGAATCCCACCACTGGTCTGAAGTTCCCATCAATTGAAAAAAATACAACTTGTAGTATATCTGCTGGTGATTAGCACTGAACAATTACTCCCTATAAAACAGGACACTCTGACCATTTGTCTGGGGACAGAGCACAAACAAACAATACTGACCTTGGATCTGTGGCATGCAAAGCCACCCATCCATCAGGGCCATTCAGAACTGGGCCTCTCTTTTATATCAGCTTATTGATTTATTAACTCTATCTCTCTGGTGAGGGGGGGTATGGGGGAATGAGAAAAAATTATACGCACAAAGAGAGATGCACCTTCAATAATCTTCTTCCCTGACAATATTTTTGAATTTTCATACTCAATTATTATTTGTATTTCATATTTCTGACTTCATGTTCATCCCCAGTTTGGGGAATCAGATAAAACTTTGCATAACTGATGAAGTGGATTCCAACTCATGAAACTCTATGCCACAGTAAAAACATTAATCTTATGCCCAGGGTTATAGCTGTGTATATTTTGTTGCACAAACATTCTCAGTTACAGATTGCTTGGTTTTCAGCAGTGAAACTGAAATGCATCAGACACAAAAGCTTTTAAAAATGACTACTTGAGTCAATTAATTTGAGCCCACAATAGCAGCAAAAATTATATAATTATATTTGGAAAATTATGTGTTTTGGGGGGGTTCACACAAAGCATTTGGTTTAATATGAAAATGATATCCTATCCATTGTGTTTATTTAAATGAAAATGCCTATTTAAGCAATGCAAAAAATGAGTATCAAGGCAGGGTGGGAATTCTCTTTTTTCCAATTTAATATAAGTAACTGTTACTTTTGCCTCCTGGAAGCTATAGGAACATGTGTAGAAAGTTATTTTAAACCACTTCAAGATCCAGACCTAGAGAAGGACATTTGACTTTTCTGCATCTTCCTATATTAGCATTTTCCCCATGATGTTGCACTGGATCAAGAATTAGCACAACTCATTCTAAACACTTATTTTTGACACATCACTCTAGGATAGAGCTGCTTATTTTCTTATTGGGGCAAATAATGAATATAAATATATCATTTACAATCCTTTTTCCAGAATCTGGTTTCATTAGTTATACAGTCCAAGGATTACTATATCTATGTGCCAAATCTCAATGCTCGCATTACTTTTTATTTAAAAAAATAATGTAAAACTTGCTCAAAGGTTTAAAACAATGCTCTTTTATTTAGCATTCTTAAATATCTTTGCCTTCACCCCATTTTCATTCATAAATTTAGCAACTGGCACATATAAATGCCATACTTTCTCAAACTTAGTGTGGAAAGTAAAACAAAATCTATATCAGTGTGGTTGATTATGGTCCACAAGAGACTTGAATCAGACTGTCAACAATGGTTTTAGGTATGGCATCTTCAGGCTGAAGAGCTTTCTTTCTTTATTACCAGAAAATAAATTTACGCTAGTCAGATTTAATTCCAGGAGCCCAAAAATGGGGAAAAAATGCAATTGACTGTCTTAATTTCCTCTCCCTTATTATTGTCAAAGTGACTTAAACTATTATTGTCTTTTTCCCACTTGATTTATGCATTAAAATATTTTTGGCCTCTTTTCCCTAAATGTATTAAGTAACACAAATTGCATCTGGATTCCATCAAACTTTGTGAAGATTGCATAATCATCACAACATTGCAAAATTCTTTACTTGAGTAGCCCTTTGTAGAAATGACATTGAATTATTTATGTTCACAAGATTTTTGTGACTTTTCCAATATGTTATAGTCCAGATTTGCTGAAAATTAAGTTGCAAGAATTACCAGCTAGCAATGGCACATTAAGAAGGTACCAAGTTCTGGAAGCCTGTTTTACAGAATAATTTATACAAAACAGAATCCCTCTTCCAGGAGAGAGAGAGTTTTAGAAAACCTATGAATCACAAATACACGATATGAATAGACAATATTTGAACAGATTGTGAATTTATTTCTGAATGAATTCTGTAAGCAGAAAAAAGAAAAATAATTAGGAAGATTAAAATTAGTATGTTAGGAAATTATACTATACTGTATAATGAGGAATATGATGTGGACAAATGCACAATCAAGACTGATAGAACATGGAAAGTTATTTCTTCTTGCAGGCTTATCTAAGATTACATGGTACATTGTCGTTTTCTATGAGCCTGACTCCAATCCAAGCAGTTATGAAGCATCCTTACAACGATTTTTCAGGAGCTTTAATCCCTATTAACTAATAGCAATTTTAGATAACAAGTAATAGCATTTCTATCAAGAATGAGCAAACTTTTTTTTTCATATTCTTACATTTGTAGATATGGATGAATGCAGTTTCTCAGAATTTCTCTGCCAGCATGAATGTGTTAATCAGCCAGGGAGTTACTACTGTTTCTGCCCATCTGGCTACGTTCTTGTTGAGGACACTCGATGTCAGGGTAAGAATATTCCATACACTTTGTCTTTTAAATATAATTAGAGGGCAAATAAGTCAGTAGTTACTCTTCTGTAAATAGTAGAAATAATAGTAATGCATAAGGGAATCAGATGTTGCAAACTTCATTACAAAAAGATAGAATTGAAAGCTATTACACAATACCACTGAAGCATAACTAAATGAGAAATGTTAATGGATTTTCTGGCTAACCAACTATTTTCCAGAGCAGCTAAAGTTTACCTAATACTTTTCTACACATATTGTATATTGCATCATATTTTGCAATGGGGAAGGTTTTTATGGAGAAAACTGATTCTATACTAATTGCATTCTTATTTACTAGCAGAGGATTTTTTAAACATTCTGCAAGTATTTTGTGGCTGCAAAACTTTTCTTTGTGCATCCAGGGAGCACATTTCAAAAGAACTGTTGATTGACTTACTTGGCAGAACTAAGCTTTTATAACACAATTTCCTTTTCAGTAGTTTTTGTTTGTTTGCTGAGTTTAAGATGGGTATACATATAAGATTATTCGGTACATATCCTTCATGTGAGTGTACCATACCAGTAGTTCATAAATTTTCTACTTCATATTTAGGAAGAGGCCAAGATGCTTAAGCTTGTTGCCTTTCTTCCTCCAAAAAGCAATACAATTGGCGTAGCTAATGCAACACAAATAAGTAGATTTACAGACAACCAATTGTTTATACATTTATATCCAAACTGAGAAAGGATAGTATAAGACTTGTAGTGAAAACTCAGTTTCTATCAGGGATATCTGCAGGCTATGGTTAAAAGGTCAAGATGTCAGCTACCATGGCTTAATCAAAGTTCCATCTTTTTTTTTTTTTTATGTGCAGGCTTTGATCAAATGTTAAATGAGAGCCAGTCTTGTATAGTAATTAAAGTGTTGAGCTAGAAATGGGTAAACCCAGGTTTAATGTAGTTTGGAAGATGTAGTGCACCTATCAAGATTGTGAGGCCAGTCACCCTCTCTCAGCCAAATCTACTTCACAGGATTTATTATTACAAGAGATGGTGTAGAAATTTGATAAATTAAATAAAAAATTAAATATTATGGAAAAACATAGGGGAAGTGTGATGCATACTGCTTTGAGTTCCTAAATGAAAAATAACATTTTTAATGAAACCTATATGTACTAAATGCTTATTTTTAATATAATTATTTGCTGCATTTCTATACTACTTTTCATTTAAAAACTTGAAGAAATTATCAAAAGATTATGCTAAAAAGGGGGAAATTGCAATAGAAACAGAAAAACTCTGAAATGACTAAAACACCAAAAACAAATTAATAAAAAATAATAACAGTAATTAGGGCATGTAATAAAAAGAAAATAAAGAAACCAATAGAGGGCTTGGATAAACAGATAAGTTATTAATTTATGGTGAAACCCACCTAGAAAGGGAAAAGATCAACAGGTAATTGCCCTCACCTTTCCACGCCTCCTATTTACCCCTACAAACTGGAAAATTAAACAAATATATAAACGTACACATCTGCCAAAGTTATATCTGCATGATTTTTCCTAAGATCCTCAAACCATCCACAAACCGCCATAATTGACCTTAAACTGTCTACTGTTGATCTAACCCCAATCCTAAATGGTAAGTAGGGGCGTGCATACGTGCACCAGTGTGCCTAACGTTCCTGTCCTACTGTTCCCATTTATTTGTACTTGTTTCCCATGTTCTTATTTATGTTTATTCTTATTCCTATCATCTTGTACATGAGTGACAAACTAACTAAATAAATAAATAAAATAAGATATCCACGATAGGCAGAGCTAGTTAACTTACCTGCAAAGAATATTATTAATTGCTCACAATCTATTCCAGCTCCCTCCCTCAAAATATTGATGGAGAAGATCCTTAGCAATGTGTGGAACAGCAATATTGGCTTGCTCTTTGCAGATGCAAAGGAGGCAGAGAAGAAAGCATTGTAATCACTCATTGAATAATTACGGCAGCCCCCAACATGAATTGTAAAGTCCCCTAGGATAATTGTTTCGGCTTTTCCAAAGTACATCTGACATCCACACAGACAATAAAATTTAGGTGAGAAAAACCATCACAAAGCCTATCCTTACTTACTGTAGTACTATATTATGAACTCACATTCATAGTATGCAATAATATGGAATGAACTCGAGTGAGCTCACATCACAAAGATCAACCAGCCATTAGAGGTTAACTACTGCAAGTCTCCATAAACTCAACTGGTTATATTGACAGACTGGTTGAAAGAGGCCCCAAACATAAGAGGAGGCATAATGAATTATACAATTTACTCATTAGTAGTCAAATTACAAAAGCAGGGATCCTTTTTTGATGCTTGATAGTCTTCTCTCCTAAATTCTTCTCTTTATAATAAAATCATGTCCAAGTGATGCCTTCAAAACTTTTCAAGTATCTTCCTAGAAACTGTGACAAAAAGCCTATACAATTAAAAACTTAGTACATTTTGTAGAGATTTCAAAGTGGTTTGTGTTATGTTTATTATTTCTACATATAAGATTGGCCTTGTCAGTTTCTATCTTATCTACAGTACATGTAATAATTATGAATATATCTCTCCCATTTGGTGCATTCCAACATATAATAATCAGCCAAAAGTTAATTCCTTTTGCCAAAAATATACTAACTTACAAACTGCAAAATATATTTCAAGAACTGTGCAGTAGATGAGATATTTCACAAATTATGCTATAGTTTTCCCCAAGAGGAAGCAAGGTCCACTTGGGTTTCTTAATATTTTATTTCATTAAACCTCTATAAGGTTTCATTCTTCCAGTGATATGTTCTCTTTTCTGTGAAGAATATTTCACTTATATAAAGTGTTGGTTATCCTGCACAGATGAACATTGTGAAGTAGGCTGATCCTAGATCTACTTTGGCTATAAAAGCCACTAAACATATTTCAGGGACACAGTGGCTCAGTGGCTAAGATGCTGAGCTTGTCAATCACAATGTTTGCAGTTCAGCGGTTCAAATCCCTAGCACTGCTCCCATTACTTGTCCCAGCTTTTGCCAACCTAGCAATTTGAAAGCATGTAAAAAATGTAGAAAAATAGGGACCACTTTGGTGGGAAGGTAACAGTGTTCCGTGCATCTTGGGTGTTTATTCATGCCAGCCACATGACCACGGAGACATCTTCGGACAGCGCTGGCTCTTCAGCTTAGAAAGAGAGATGAGCACCCTCCCTAGAGCCAGAAATGACTGGTACACATGTGTGGGGGAACTTTTACCTTTAAACATATTTCAATTATTAGTTCCCAATGCCTGTCAATGGCAATTAGCAAGAAAAAAAGGATTTTTGTTTTAGTTTGTTAAAGACAAGAGTGATGATTTTGTTTTAAATGTACTACTCTGAAAAATTATCAGAAGTGAAAGAAGTTATGTCCATTGGCTAACCAAAGAAGTTATATCAGAAGTGAAAGAAGTTATCACAGATGAGCAACAGGTGGTAGATAAAAAATAAAGATCTATATTCTCTCTTTATCCCTCTGATTGCTCATTATTTAAGAGATTGTTTTATTTATTTATTTAGCGTATGGCACACAATGTCAGGGAAGTCTACATATACTAGATACAATGCAGTCCCGACAGCCTAGATTGCTAATTGATTCCATTTGGTGCTTGCGCACCTATCCTTGGTGCACTGTGGAGACAAACTATCTTTACATCAATTGGCTAGCAGTGTTCAGGTTGTTGGCTCTTCCAGGCTCCTCTGCCGATCTCACCTTGCCTCATCTTGCAATGCCTTGCATCTGGCCAAGCCCAGCTTCCACTTTCCACACAAACAAATGCAGCTAAGTGCTGATCTTCTGCCTTACTTCCTAAACAAACTCAGAGAAAGCATTTTTTTAAATTCTTCTTATAAAATCTGCTGTAGTGATCATTGTTCAGTTATTGTTCTCACACATCAGAAAGCTTCATTCTTCAATATTATGCATAATGGAAACATGGATGAAGTTGTGGGTACATAAGCTCCCTAAGGATGCCCAGTGAGCTTCGTAGTGATGAGATTCAAGTCCAAATTTTCATGATCCATTTCCAATATCCCTATCTGTTACTTTCCACAGCTGTGTTAGATTTATATCAGATGATATTGCTATCATTGTTAACTGAAAGCAGGAATTAAAACCCAATACGTCCAAGACCACCAAACATTGAATAATGGTTTGGAAAAGACTCCATTAAACATACTAAATGTCATATTATGGAAGGGGACTATCTGATAGGACTGTTGCAAATTATGCAGTCATAAACCTTAGTCATGTAAAACCTCCCAGCCTTTATGGCAAATATTCAGACTACAAACTCAGGCAGACTTTCTATATATATATATATATAAGTATATATATATATATACTTAAAGTCACAACCCCTGGTATGACCAA